ATTTGTTGCTATTGATTATTCACCTCTCTTATTCGTTAACCAGCCATCGTCAAATTCGTTTGCATCTCTGATATCTCGAAGAACCAGTCCCTCTCCGACCAGTTTGGCGTTTGAAACTGAAAAAACTGTGATCAGTCCGAGAGAAAGGATCAAAATCTAAGACTTCTTCATTTCAGTTGAATACTTGTCTGGGTGGTCAGGAAACGCTTGAAGAATAAGAACTGGCTGTTTTCCGCTCGTAGGCCAATAGCGAATTGATGTTCTGAAGGGCGGCATTTTTATACCAAACCTTGGTGTCCATATTAAGTAACACAAATTTTAAATATACAGACAATACGATGACTTCGAGACTAAACCGTTGGAAATTTCAAAAGCTAAGTCGCTCAAGATTTTGTCAATTGAAAGCGTCGTCGATATCAACGTTGATAGATAAGTCACTGATGACAAGAGATTCGAGATTTACGTCTCAATGCTATCATTTGTTACTATCATTTACGTGTCATAGTTGTTTTTCGCGACCGCCCTTCAAAAAAATATGTTCTGTTAAACAAGTATAGAGTGGTTAAAAATCCATCGAAATTGACTTCATATTATTTTCTCATTAAAAGCTAATGAAAAAAAAAACATTAATAACAAAATGCGTATGAACACATTCAGCTCGGTAAATGTAATGTCACATATCTTGACATTTTGATCTGGGCTGACTCAATAAGGTTTGAAACTTTTCATATTTTTGTCTGCAATCGAGCGTGGCTTTTTTCAAATGTTTCAAATGCTTCCAAAACTTGAAAGCTTGTTTAACGTATCTTGAACAGACAACGTCCAAGAAATGTTCAGAAAAAGTTTTGAAAAAGACATGATGTGCTGATTGACCAAAACATGCGATCCTAGCTAACGCGCGAACTTCTAACGGACAACTGATCATCAAACCACTCTTCAGAATTTTGATCGGGTGCAGTTTACAGTTAGCCCCTTGACTTCCATGAGTGACCAAAAGAGAATTTCTCCTTACAATATCAATACAAGACGAGTAGACAAGTGATGAGAATAAAGAAAAATATCAGTTAGGAGATTATTAGCTGTTCCAGCTCCCAATTCTCTGAACTAACATCATAAGAATTGTATGGCAGACAGTTAGGTGGCGCAGTCATGAGAGATGCCAGCAGATCGTGTGTCTTGACAACCTACGTATACTATACAAACATATACTATAAACTCTGGTTTGCAATGCTAAGTGAACTGCATAAACCGCTTTAACATTCCCTCCCTATGAAGCTATCAGCAGTAATGGTAGTGGAACATTTCTTTCACAGTGACCAAAATTGGACCAACTTTATCCTTCGCCCAGTTCAAGGGCTGTCTTTTACTAAATCATTTCAAAAGCTTTCAACCAATGAGTTTTGTTTGAAATTAGTGACAGTTGTATGATTCAAAATTTATTCAGTTACTGATTGATATCTTTATGACGGTTCGAAATAACTCTACTGGCTCAAGAATCTTCTTACCTTCCGATTTTTCACTGCAAATGTCTCAGCGTTTTAGGAAACTAGCTGTGAAGGTGAAGCTTCGGAGACGCGATTTGGTACAGTAACATCTTACTTCACTCAAATAGGATTCTCAGACCAAGATATGCTGAAAAACTGTGTTATTCAATGCTTTATCTCAGTATCTGTCACACAGTTTTCTATCATATTTTAATAGTTCGGCTTTAAATGTTAACAAACTCTTAAATCAAACGGGTGGAGCGCTTGCGGGGTAAGGAACGCTTAAAAACGGCAGGTGCACTCATGAACAGCCTAAAGCGCATGTGTCAGTACCGTAGTTATTGTAGCGTTGCAGTTGAGTCTTCCGTTGCAGTTATGTCCTCACAACTAATAACCAATAGAATGTGGTTTTATTTCTTCCAATCAAAAGGCGTTGTGAACGT